TTGTGATATTTTAAGCCTTCCTACACCCTCAGAGACTATTATCTCTCTGCTTCCCTATGTAAATAAAGCCTGGAGACACTGCTCAAGTGAGGGTCACAGCACATGTGATCACTACTGGAAAGCTGCAYTTCTGTCTTCTACCTTCATCATAAAGCAAAGGTCTTTCCTGTATTTCCAACAACCCTTGGATCTACTATTCAAGGTCTGTTCAGATTACAATTTTGCTAAAGACTTCTATTATAAGGTAGGTAAGGATCTTCCACACTAATTAATGCAATCAAAAATTAAAGTGCTGTAAGGCAAATTAAGTGTTTTATCACTCACTTGTAATGAGAGACAGTGTTTCATGATTCTGAAAAAAAAAACCTTATTCTTTATTTGCTCTGAAATCACTAGCCACTCACCACTACAGCTCCTCAAAACTACTGAGGAATTTGTTATCAGCTGCTCCAGCAGAAAGACACAAATAGCCCTGAAGTCCAAGTTTTATCACCTTACACTGACCAGTAACTTGATACAGTAAGTAATAAGTTGAGCAGCTACAGACACTCCAAAAAAATCTGACCATTCCTATGGCAGATTTCCCTTATTGTCACTTTGTGACCCAATGTTTTTGTGCCTTGAGTCCTGCAGAGCCTGAGAAATGTGTAGAAAATCCTACTGCACCAAAAGTGTGGTTACATTAATGGACAGCTTCGAGCAACTACACATGAAGAAGTGATGTGTTTGCTGTTACTTTTGCCTGAAGYCACTTCCCTTATCCATAGCAATAAGGAGTCAAAAAGGGAACTTATTAATGTTCGTCATTTCATTGAAAATCATGATTGAATGTATACTGCCCATGAGCTCTGTCCACTGAGGAACRTTTACTATTTAATGACTCACTGAGGAGGGTTCCCATAATAAATCAGCCAGCACGTAACAAAGCCAAGAAACCAGTCACCATGTCTGCTTCCTGCCAGTTGCCATTCCCTTCCTTAATGGGCCTATTGAAAGTGTGTCAAATATGAGGTGGACCTACTAGCTTGTAGCCAAGCTTCTCCTCCCATTCTCTACACTCTCTGCCACAAGCACCTCCAATACTTGGCAAAGAGAGACAGCAACCAGCACTTTTTGCAAAACTCCTTGGATTCACATTTCAACTCAGAAACTAAGGGACTCAAAGAAACAGGATGGCAATCTGTTCATGTAGACAAGCAAAAGCCTGCAAGTTCTCCAAAAGTTTACTCCATACTTGCTGGAGAAAACTCCTCCCAATGTGTTCACAATTTTTCATGCTTTAATTTTCAGATAACACAAAGCTTTCGTGACAATGAGTGGCAACTCCCAAGCTTTTAAAAATTGCCTGGGAAACTGGATCCCCAGACAAAACAATGTACACATGGTAAAACTTGACTTTCTCTCATATTCCAGCAAACAGACCCCCAGTTAAACAGTCGGCCCTTCAAAGGAACACGAGGAACAATTGTGGTGCTTGTATTTCCCAATCCAAAGGCACAGAGAAGCAGATTCTCCTTCTCTTTCAAAATGAATGCCTATGGATTGTTTTTTTCAGATCTATGAAAGAAAAAGATATTCCTATCCATTTCCAAACTGCACATSAACATCTTTGTAGGTTACACATTTCTTATCCTATAAGTTAATCAACAGGAAGAACTGTACATKTTAAGTGATGAAGATTCAGAAGCAAAGGCAGCTAATGAAAGACCTAGCATCAAGAAATCAAYTGAAAATCCTAACTTCACAGGCTTTTCCTAGTAAGACTATAGAGTAAAGAGGTGGGAACAGAAACTGAAAGGAGCCTTCTCAGTCAGGCAAAACAAGYTGATTTCCTAAGGACAGGCAGCCTAGCTCTATGATCTCTCAATCTTAAGTTTTCCAAATTCACTCTGAGTGACATCCATTTAAGCACTGCTGTGGACCTTTGCTTTTCTGCACTTTGCAGTTTCAGAGATGCAGTCTGCACCACATCCTCAGGCAGTTCCTATCCACTGGTTCTTGTGACAAGACTAATTTGGACTAAATGGCTGGATTTTCCTCCTCATTTTTCACTTTTGAACAGTTTCTTGGAATACAACTACATGCAATGCAGCATTTCMATGAATACTTCAAAGGCCATTATCAATAATTTAAAAGTCATTAAGAGCAGCCCTGTGGAGGACTTGGGGGTGATGGATGACAAAAAACTCAGCATGACAGGCAATGTGCACCTGCAGCCCAGRAAGCCAACCACAACCTGGGCTGCATCAAAAGGAARGTGGCCAGCAGGCCAAGGAAGGTGATTTGTCCTCGCTGGTCTTCACCTTGTGCCAGTGTATCTGCTGTCTGCAGCTGTCCAGCTGCAAACAGAACCTGTGAAACAACTACCTCAAAAGCAACCCACCAAAATAAGGTTTGCTTTTTGGTCACCTCAGTTCCCCATTTCAGCTTACTACACAACTGCCTCCTCTTTCCAGTGAAGAGGCACGAGAGGAAAACGGAAGAATGTTCCTGTACTTACAGAGGAATTAAGTACTTCCTTTGCAAGCCTACCTAGGGAAGTCTTTCTACATACTCCTGGAATGCAGAYTGCCCAATGACTATCTCATCCAGTTCTGGAAGAGAGCATCCAAATCCCTTTTCCTGAAAAGTGGATCAATTTATATGCATTGATAAACACATTATCACACTATAGGATTACATTCATTGTCATTCTTGCCCTCAAACCACACTACTTTGGTGACTTAGCCTTCATCACATCCTCTTCCAGTCAGGTCAGCTCCTAAGCTTATACTGTTATTATTCATTCTTATCACACAACTTCATAATGCACTCTATTTCTATCACTCCAGCATTCCTTACCATCCAGCTCTCGTACAACTTTCCCGTTTTTCTTTGAAACACTGCTCAAGTTTGCTTATCATAGTTCAATTTTATGGTGTAAACAGCACCAGCACCGCTTTCAACCTTGAGAAACACWTCTTGCAAGTATCCTTCAAACCAACAGTTCCTCTTCTGACTCAAATCTGTTTCTGCTTCCTCTCCTTCATACTACTCTTTACCCAAGTACCAGCTCTTGCACTAATTTTCCTGTATCTACACCTTAAAAATAAGTGTGATACCCTTTCAAGTTCCCAAMAAATTAGAGCTACTCCATTTCTTTCACAGAGAAAGGAATTCAATCACTTATTCTTACAAAAGATGCAGGTCAGTCAGGCATGATCTATCTTTAGCAAATGCACATAGGACTCAATCTACTTAGTTTCATGCTGTTAATTAATTCCTTCCCCCAAAAATTCTCAAGAGTTTTKCATACTACTGATGCCAGGCTCATTAGGCTATAGCTGTGCAGCTCCTTTCCTCCATATCTTTCAGGAAATGTTTTCTATAGTTCAGTAAAAAAYCTGCTAAGTCAGAGGTAGGATACATTTAAAATTAGATTTCTGGTTATGTCTCCCTTAGGAAGCCTGGCTGCTTGTGGTTCTACTGACTGTCATTCTATTCCTGCAATTCCTCCTCCCTTTGACAAAGCTAACCTATACCTCTCCCAAACTGCCTTCCTCTCCGTCTTCTCCAGGTCATTTCTTGAGATAAAGAGCAGTTCAGACGTATTCTGACCTAATTTTTGACAACACATCAAAATGTCCTTCTACGARCATTTTACTGGCAACAAAATAAAATTCACCACTACTAATAAATAGTTTGGGGGGTTGTTTGGTTTTTTTTGTTCCTTTTTTTTTCCCCCTTGTATCAACACTGCTTAACATACAAAAAATAAATACACACTCCAGAAGAACAGAAGAAACAAAAGCCTAGGTCTTTTCTAAGAGGCAAATGACAAGGAAAGGGCAAAAACATGCTCTTCCTCCTACAGATACCCAACTAATGCTCAACTTCTAACAGTGTTGAACAAGAAAGTGCCTGATAAATATCACAAACCTCACAACCCAGATGATCTAATTACTTCACAGGAACTGATCCTGTGAACATCCATATGCTAACAGCCCCCAGACACCCTGAAGAGAAAGGATGCATTAGAGAACCATGMACATCTTTCAGAAATTGAGTTATGGCACCTTAGCGTCTGAGAAATTGTGCTTGGATTTTTCTCTGAAGCAATAATTTAATTCTCAGCTACCTTGTATGGAATGTGTTTATGTCAGATCAACTCTTTTATAACAATAACCATCGTGTTCATTAGTGTCTTGGTAATTTTTATAAAGGCCAGGAACTTGCTATGGAAGAAGACTCACTGGAAATCCAACATTATGTCTATCTGCTCTTGTCACAGCAAAGCAGCTGCATGGGCAGCCGCATCTCATGCTTYAAGGGTTAAAAAAGAATTAAAACAATCAGAGCATAAACCAACTATGAAATACACGACATAAATCCTTCCACCTTACAGGCCACACAAAACAGTCAAGCATTTATGAAAGCAGGGAAGARACAGGCAAAGAAAACTTAAATCCAGGGTGGGCTTGTACCCTGGGGCTGTTTGGTAYAAGATGTACCTGTGAGCACTCAATGCTGGCCCGTCAGGGAGAGAGGAAGGTACATTAAAACACCGTTTGGAGGGCTTTCCTCATCATTCTCTCTCTGAACGCATCAAGCACGCACGATTCGAAGCAGATACGGCGTGTGCCGTCGCCCCTYATTCCCGGGAGCTCACCCCGCCGGCCCTCGCTCCGCCTCGCTCCCGGCGGGAGCGCCGAGGCGGGGCGGGAATGGAGGCAGCTCCATGACCACGACCTGCCCGGGGCGAGCCGAGTCATGGCCCAGCCAGGCATCCCCGGGCCGGGGGAGGCCGCGGCCAAGCGGGGCCTCGGCGGCTCCCGACCCCTCCTTCACCGCCCCCTGAGCGGAGCGAAGCCCCCCGGCCCCGCCGGACGCGCCCCTCCCGCAGCGGCTCCCGCAGCCGGGCAGGCGCCGCTCGGCCGGGAAAGGGAGCCGGGGAAAGGCCAGGAGGAAGCGCAGGAACAGAGAGGAGAGGCGGGAGTCGAGGGGCACCCGCGCCCCCTCACCTGGCAGCCCTTCTTGTGGTGGAAGCCCACCACCACGATGTGCAGCACCGGGCCCCGTTTCTCCATGGAGCAGCCCGGCGATGGCCGCGCCGGAGGATGCCGCCGTGCCCGGGCTCTCGCTCCGCCCCCCGGGGTCCGGCGGGGACGCAGCCCCGGCCGCCTGCGCTTCCGCACCGCCGGCCCGGGAGGGCGGGCACGGCCCGCAGCACCGCCCTCCTCCCGCCCCTCCCGGCGCGGGCCGCGCAACTCGGGGGTAATCAGGGTCGGAAAGATCTCCCCCATCTGCGGGTCCGGGTCGTGCAGGTTAAGGGCAGCCCACAAAGAAGCCTGGGGTTTGTTTCAATACAGTTTTCTCAGGTCGGTTGCCGAAGGTTAAAACTGAGGAAAAAAAACAAGGTAAGGCTTCTTCCCTTAAGGGGCTAAACCTGCAACAAGAGGAGGGTCAGCAGGGGCCTCATCGCTCTCTACAACCTCAGCCACCTACAACCTGAAAGGAGGGTGTAGCCAGCAATGGGCCGGTCTCAGCTGCCGGGCCTGAAGTGAGAGCACAAGAGGAAATGGCCTTAAGATGAGGCAGGAAAGATTCAGATTAGAAAAAAATACTTCAGTATTAGGGTGGCCGGGCATTGGAATAGGCTGCCGAGGCAGCTGGTGGAGTCATCACCCCTGGGATGTTTACGTCGCCTCTGGCTCTGGGTGATCGGGTTTAGGGGTTACAGTGCAATGCTGGRTGGACACCTGGACTGGATGATCTTAAAGGTCTCTTCAAGCGTTGATGGTGACTCTATGATTGTGTTAACATATCTTAGCATACCCTAGAAAGAAGACAGTTCAAAGACTTGCCCAAGAGCACAGGCAAGTTTAGTGTGAGAGAAAAACAACAAAAAAAAATTAAAAACTGTATCTTAGTGCACTCATACCATGCTCCTTKTTGAACCTTTGTTACGATTCACTTCTGACTGCTTGAATCAACAGCTTTTGGTAGAGGCTGTACTCTTAATAATTAAGATTCTCTGTGGAAATCGGAGGAGGATAATCTTTTTGAAAGACTTTAAAAGAATAGTGCTTAAAGAAAATCTCATCACTAACACRGTACCCAGGGGCACAAATTATAACAATACAGCATGTTATCTCATATTGTCTCTCCACTTCAACAGAAGTATTGTTATAGAAAAAGTATACTGCAGGGAACACAGGATAAGTTACAAGGAGCAATCATTGTGGCAAGGAAATGRTTTCTTATTAGTATTAGCCTGTAACTGACTGTTTAGTATGGTTTCAAAAAAAGAAAAATGCATGCAATATTGGCCATTATCTCCTGCAGTAATGAGATATCCCTGAAAAGATGCATGTGAGTGCTTACAGTTCATTCTCAGTTCATTCATTCAGAAAGTGCAGTCTGGCATCACTCTTGCTGTGATGGATTATGCATTATAGAGGCGTCTCAGTGATACTACTGGATAATGGTGGCTTATGGCTTCTCTGAATAGATTTTTTTTTCTGCTTGAAATTCTCTTTCCTGTTAGAGCAATAAAAATKTTGAACTGACAACATCAGTCTGGTCTGGGAAAATACACTAGTTGACATCATCTATGTTGCTTTCACGGTTCAGGCTGTGTGCATTTCTGAGAAAGGGAAGTGAGAGCTGCTATGAAACAGCTTTCAGAAAAGTCTCAGTATTTTCCTAAGGGAATTTTCTTTCTCCATGCATAGCTAACAAATAGCAATGAAAGCTCAGCCCTATAGTTCTTCTATTATTCAGACACTTTGCTTAAGAACYACCAGCTATGTTATCATTACTATAGTAATTTGTTAGTCATTGTTCAAGTCACAGCAATAACGCAAAGTTCTCAGCTTATGTGYGGTGAGACTTCTAGAGATGGATAACCTTTCCCTGGGCAGTACAAAAGTTCATATCTGGCAGTAACACCAGAGCTAAGCAGTGCCCATGGTAGCTGATAGCTCCCCTCTATTTGTTAGGTATAGCCCAGCTTCCAAAAACCAAAGCTCTGAATTTGTGGAGACAAACATGTGACTAAAAAACAAATGTCCTTGGATTTCTGTTGAAGAAAACCATAAATGAAACCCTGGCATGGATCTGAGGTTTGTATCTGATTTCTTCTGGATGGCAGAAGAAATCTCACTTTGTGTTTGCAGTAGGTTTTCTTTGAAGCTCTTATCCAAAATGAATGCAATAATTCCCCTAGAAAGTTAAAATAATCTTTTTTGTTTTGCAGTCAACAGGACCAAATATTATTTGAGTTGTACATTTAGTTGCATTAGAGCACCATAATGTAGGCAGGGCTCTGAACAGGCCTCCCCATGGAAAATACTGCATTTGATCCTGGGGAATGATGGTGTCATTYTCATGAGATTGATAGGACTTTCAAGCGTGCAAGCCAAAAAAGAGGAGCTTGGTTTGTTAGGGAAGTGTGCAAGACACATACAGTGTATCTTCTGCAACTTTAAGGAGGCTTAGGATGGTGGAAACATTGCGCACAGATCCTGACTCTTCTCCCCACATAAATATTCTGTTGTCCTGACCACTGTTGACACTTCCACTGCCCCAGGTCCCTGCTCACTTTGGCTGGAAGGGTTTGCAGACCTCTGGCTCCTGCCTCTGATCAGATGAGACATGTTTGAAGAAGATMACTTGGTCTGAATTGTTTCCTTAGAAAATATTGATTGTGAGTAGTAAAGGAGAGATCTGTCCCAGTGGGTTGTGACGGGAGCAGAGAGAAGCTTGAGACCCCAGGTGCAGCTGTTAATTATTTGTGAAGTAGACCTTGCTCTTTGGGGTCCCTGATCCAAATGCTGCCGTGAAAGGTGACTTTCATGTCTGTCATGAAATCTGTGCTGTTTTTCTAGATACGCATTTCATCCTAGTGTCCTTTGTGGAAGCTCTGGAGGTTGGTAACAGCAAGCACAAAAATCCTTATCACAACCTAATGCAGACTRCAGATGTGACATGGATGGTCTGTTATCTCCTTTTCTCCTTTTTAAGACTGACATAGCACTAAGTACAGGAGACAGCTRAAGCCAGACAACACTGACAGGAACGGATTGAGTGATTAAACAAAAAGAGATAATGAGCATATGGTAYGTTCCCACAGTGGTTGTCAAGACAGACAACAAATATCTTTGAAGGTGGGCTAGAGAAATTGAAAGCAGACAGATTCCAAAATGATGACCAGCCACTGCAGTTTGGRTTTGGCTGGCATCTTAGGAAGTTGCTGGTCCACTCAATGGGGAGGATTGAAATGGGGAGGTAGTGAAAGCTCAAMCTGTACAAGATACATATGTAACTTCTCATTCTTTTCCTTTTCTTACTGCTCATTATTGCCACAGCCAGAAAAGGAAACAGAATGCCTTTTAGTCTGATTCTGTGTGACAGCTTTTTGGCACGTGTTGTTGGTTTCATCTTTTTCCAGCATCTCATTTGCTCTTGGCCCCTTGCATTGGCAGAAGCAAAGGTATCAGTGAAAGGGAGGTTCACCTGTTCAGTATTTTACACTGTTCTCTCTTGTTACACCATGGCCATTCAGGGGTTGCTCTCTTTGTGGCTGGTACTTGAATACCATTTATGCTCCCTAGGGTTTCTTCACTAACAATTGTGCAGAAGCAGCCGAGGTAAGCACCTCCAGGTGCAGGGATCTCTGCAGTGCAGAGCAGGCACATGAACCCAGAGCAGCAGAAGCTGAGGCTGTTACTGCAGCCCAAGCCTTCCTGAACACTCAGTCATTCTATTCATGTGCACTCATTCCAAACTCCACAACTAGGAACTGTGGAAGAAAAGGAATGAGAGAAACCTGTGGTTGGACATGTTTTGGCCCAGCCAAATTCCAGCACTGTTTCTGATGCTATGAGTACCTTAGGTGGACTGTACAAAATCCCCAAGTTGTCAGTCAGCATCACTGTGGCAATACTTGTCTTTCCTGCTGTGTGTTGGTACATCTTTTTTCTGCACAGCTTGCTGAGGAAACTGAAGAGGTGATGCTGCCAGYGTGTACCATGTGGTAGAGCAGAGGACAGAGGTGCAAGCTAACAAGGCATAACAGAGCTCCTGCCAGGTCTTTTAGGCCACCTTCAACTACTGCAGAGCTACTTAAGCTCAGGAACAGCCTTTTGTGCATATGCTCTGCCTTTCTGCAGTCCCTTGATTGTCACATGGATGTTGCTTTCAGTTCTGAGGACAGACCTGGATGCCCTTCCCTGAGGACATGCTCCATCCAGGGCCTCCTGTAAACATGTCCTGAATCTCCTGTGTTGAATGTAGACTGCATCTGTGACTTGTGTTTACTGAAGGCAGCTTTGGAAGAAGTTGTTATGAACGGAAAGTCAGGCTTTATCTATCTCAAGAGTTGATSGAGACAATTTTGATGGAATTTTGTGACTGGTTTCTGATTGTGTCTGAAGTAAATAGAAATTAGATTAGACTATCCACTAATACAGCTGCCTACTCAAAATCTCATATTAATTGTAAAGTGGTCTCTGCTGCTTATAGGGCCATTAGTTAATGAAAATGAACTGCAGGCTGCAGTCAGTAAGACAAATACAATGTTGAGGAATGCAAACTGCAATGGATTGCATTTTCCCCTCTCCAACTACGGGAGAAGGGCAGATTTCCCTTRGGGCTACTCTGCTCCAGAAAGTGCCTGGATGGAAACAGCTGCCCGAGTGTAGCAGCCCTCCTGCCTGTGTATATTCCAAACAGCCTTTTCCCAGCTTTTGTTTCTCGGTCAATTAGTCACTTAGCTGTGTCATTCCAGAGGTCTGCTTTCACRGCTTGTTTAGGTATGGAAGGTGATACTGGCTTTTGAAGTGTCCACTGGTGTCATGGGAGAAGGCCATTACATCCCTTCTTCCTGTGTGTAATGGTGCAGATTCAATGATCAGCATTTCCTCTGTCTGTGGCTCACTAAAATTGTATCTCTGCTCTGACAGACCTCTCTCCTTCTGGAGGCCTTGAGGACAATTAATGGACAAAATCCATCATTTCAGTGTGCCTTTGACTTCCACTGGAAAGCCCCAAGCTCTGGCAGCATTACTTTCATCCTCTCCTACTGTGCAATCAGGGTACAACAGAGCTGGGCCACCTGMAAGAGGTTGACTTTTTCCATACACTCAGCTGATGGATGCAAGGTTATTTTTCAGCATTTTATAAACATTTTGGCT